TGCAGACGAGCCGGCACGATGCCTAGTGACCCGTTGTAACTGAGGAGACAAAGCCTGCTCCTGCACACACACACACACACACACACACACAGGCTTCAGCCTGGCCGGGTCCTTCGTTGTAGCCACACGGCAGCTCTTCTCATGAGGGCCTCCACTTCCCACATGGCACGTCCTCCTTCCAGGACTGACCCCCACACCCCGACCAGGGTGTGTGCAAGCCAGTGAGTGGCTCCATCTTGCTGTGACCCTGGGACTCCACGGGCTGAACCTTGGAAGTAGATCTCCAGCCCTGGCTCCATGAGGCCAGACTCCTGTGGGTGTCCCTGCTGGCGTGCAGAGCACAGCTTCCAGCCACACCATGGCCACCCCGGTGTGACGGACAAAGAGGGGCTGTTGTTGTTGTTGTTGTTGTAAGGTGCCATTCAGTCAGTCCCTGCCCACCGGAACCCCGGGCACAGCAGATGGACACACTGCCCGATCCTGCACCCTCCTCACAGGTGTCCCTGAGTCTGAGCCCCTGGCAGCAGTCACTGTGTCCACTTTCCCACTGTGTCCACCCTCCCACTGTGTCTGCCCTCCCACAGTGTCCACCACCCAACTGCATCCACCTTCCCTATGTCCACCACCCCGTGTCCACCCTCCCATTGTGTCTACCACCCTACTGTCCACCTTCCCACTGTGTCCACCACCCCACTGTCCATCCACGGTGTCCATCCCATTGTGTCCACCCTCCCACTGTGTCCACTCTCCTACTGTGTCCACCATCCATCGAGGGTCTTCCTGGATGGTGAGGTGCCCACTGCACATGAGACAAAGCACCGCTGTGCTTTATTCCATGGTGGCTGCACTTCCCCTGGAGGGTGGTGGTACACGTGCACTCCGGGCTGGAGGATCAGCCACGGGGAGTTGGGGTGAGGTGGGATTGTGCATGTCCTGCCAAGATGGGTTGGGATGGTGCCCATCACTCTCTTACATGGCTATGAGCAGTTCATGGGCCCTCAGTCACCAGACGGCACAGTTAAAATGTTTGGATGTGTCCCCTGCCACTTGCCACAGCCTCTGCCTGGGGGGTGGGGGTTCGGGGGCCTGGCAGGCCCGCCCACCTTGGCTGCCCCAAGGAGTCTGTGCAGGGTCCGTGGGAGAGCCAAGGGACCAGGATGCTACTGTGATGTTGCTGGATGACCTGTGACCTGAGGATCCTGGTCACTCTGTTGGCTCTCCTGCCCTGGAACAGGCACCAAGATGGGCCTCTTCCCGGCGGCTGGCCACACCGCTGTCGACCAACACCCCAGCACAGACAGAGTGCTGGTGCAGTTGCCGTACGAGGTGTTCAGATCTGTCTGCACGCGCTCCTGTGAGAAATCTATGTTGTCACTGAATTCCACCTGCGGCGACTCCAGGGTGGAGGGTGGGGGTGGGGGTGAGCCTTCTCCCAGTTGAGGGGCCTTTCCTGTGGGCAGCAGCTCCGAGTGGCCTCTCTGTGTTTCAGGTGCAGGGGTGAGCTGTCACCTGCTTGTGGGGTTTCCTCCGGGAGCCCCAGGGCCACTATTCAGTGATCTCCATCCTGTGGAGATGGAGCGGTGGATGCGCAGTACCTTCTGTAGGTTCTCCTAGTGTCGGCCACAGGCTTGGAGCAGTGGGCTTAGAGCAGGGCAGCCGTTGGGCCGTGGTTTCTTCACAGAGGCATATACCAGGCCTGAGAGCCTTGGACCTCACCGCACGCCTGGCTAGCTTTTGTCCTTTCCTTTACCAGAAATGGCTCAAAGCAGCCCCACAAGACCAAGAAGGCCTGCACCCTCCTACAGCCTCCTCCTCCTCCTGAGAAGATGCTTGGGCTTGAACCGCTGATCTTGTGACTGGCAACCAGGTGCTCAACAAACCACAACAGCAGGGCCCCACCATCTAAGAAAGGGCCTTGCCAGTGGGGAGCTCTGTGCTCACTAGGCGGGCCGCTTCAGGGATGGGACCACCAGAGACCCCTGCCCAGGGCATCTCTGATTGGTCCTGAAGCCCAAGCACTTATCTGTCCCAAGCACCTGCTCTGCCCCTCAGAGCGACCCTGTAGGGCGGGGCAGACAGGCCCTGTTTTCAAGGGAACAGACAACCTCATCTTCCTCTCTCCGAGGGGCTAGGGGGTTTGAATCTCAGACCTTGCAGTTAGTAGCCCAGCGTGTGACCTCTACGCCATACGGTCTAGAACCAGGCTGTCCCAAACAGCAGCCAGTCACCATGTAGAGTTAGACACACACACACACACACACACACACACACACACACACACGCCAGTCATAGACATTCATGTACCCACCTACAGACTCCAAGGCACACACAAATGCAGGCATGTGCATACACGCACACATCCGCCAGCTGTAGACATTGCAGTATCCACTCCCTCACACACACAGACAACCCCACACACACACACCAGACACACATGCACACACCACACACATAAACACACACCAGACACACATGCACACACACAGATACAGACACACATGCACACACACAGATGCACACACTACACACATACACACACCAGACACACGTGCACACACACACACTTGTTTCCTGGCCAAACCAGTCCCTGTCCTCCCACTCTCCCTGCCAGCTCCCCTCCCCTCCCTGCAGTCCCTCCCAGGGTAGGCGGAGCTGCCCAACCTGTAAACATGCCACCCTGAGCCTGTCCCCCAGCCGGGGAGCAGTGGACAGGTGGGCTGGCAGGACCCAGGATGGGGGTGGGGGCACTGACCGAGGATGGAGACCTTGCTGAGAAATTCCTCATACATCTTGCGCTTCCGGAGGGTGCTGCCCTGTGGGGTGCAGAGGACAAGGTGAGTCTCCACATCTCTGGGCGGGCACACACCCTTCCCCCAGCGGAGGCCACTCCCTCCTCTTAGCCTCTCAGGAATCTGAAGGGGAGTCCAATCACGCTCCCTAACAACCATGCCCAGCAACAGATGATCCCAATCAACTGGGATCCACCATTGGCTTGTAACATGAGCACACAGCCAATCGGAGTCCTTCCCTTAGATTTCATATATTAAAAGGAAGTGCCTGTTGGTAAACTGGGGCTATTTGCAGCCAGGCTCACCTTCCTAGCATCTTGTTGCCTCTCCCCAACACACACACACACACACACACACACACACACACATGCATTTGGGGGTAAATTGAGGGCAACACACAAAACCAAGAGTTAAAAACAAGAGTATGTAACAGACATCGACTGAGTACCTGGATCCAACTGTGCTTAAGGCTGATTCCTACTACATCTTTCCCGGGAGAAAGAGCTATCAATGACTCCCCTGTTCCACTCAGAGAGTGCTAAATAACTCAGTCCCAGTAAATGGTAATTGTGTGGGTTAGGACAAGGCACACATCTCAGCCAGTGTAGGAAGCCTCATGTGAACTAAACTTGTACCAGCCTAGCAATCGGGAAGCAGTTTTTATTTCAGTCCCCCAGTTCCTTTCTTCCTGCTATCTGGGAAGTAGAGGTAATAGCTGGAGCTCCAGCAGCCACCTTGGGCTCTTGTGAGTGGAGGGAGGAGACCTGGAGGGATTACAAGATCTGAGAGAATCTGGAGGAACAGTGAACTCCGAAGAGCAGTGGCTTGAGCCACTGTCATTTTGAGTAGCGCTATCACAACCAATCACCACTCCTGCCACCTGGCATTCCCTCTCCATACTGTCCCTTCCACTGGGAGGGGGCTGAACCAAGAGGGTCCTGAAGAAGTGCATTCCCACGCTAGCTGATAAAGGATGGGATCTCAGGGGTGGGGGGAAGCGGGGGCTCCGCCACAAGGCTCATGGAGACCAGACGTGGTCCAAAGAGGGCATCCCTGTGGCCCCAATCCCAGGCAGGGCCCCCAGCCAAGGCCACCCGCAGTCACTCCGTTCCTGACCCTCCGGAATTGGGCAGGAAAAGCCAGAGTCACCACTCTTAGAAGGCTTGTTGGCAGGTGGCCGTCCCTTTTTTGTTGCCCTGACAAGGGACAGCCAGGTAGGAAGCCAGCAGCCTGCACATGGGCATGAAAGGCCCCTAGCTCCTGCCCCTGCCCCATCCCCACCTGGGCAGGGCAAGCTTTGGAGGACGGCCAGGCCTGCAGGGGAGGTCATCACATGAGTGGTGAGTGAGCCACCAGCAGCCAGACTCCTAGTCAGAGAGCCTGCTGGGTCAGTCGGAGAAGGGCCTGAAGTGTCTGTGGAGTGGGGTCTCTCGGTCAGAGTGTCTGTCCAGGTGCCCGTTCGGAGAAGGGCCCTGAAATGTCTGTGGAGTGGAGTCTCTCGGTCAGAGTGTCTGTCCAGGTGCCCGTTCGGAGAAGGGCCCTGAAGTGTCTGTGGAAGGCAGTGGACAGGGATCCTGAGCTCAACTTCCCGCCAGCTCACCTCACTCACAGACACCCTCCCAACTGTCCTTGAGGCAGGTGTGTCACCGCGGTGCTGGGCAGCTTTCAGAGGGACTTCCAGAGTGAGGGATCAGGAAGAAAGGCCTGGTGACCGGTGTCCACATGGGTCACAACCAGGCTGACCAACAAGCGACTGTGGGGACGGTGCAGGACCAGGCAGTATTCTGATTTGTTGTGTATGCATTCACCGTGGATCAAAGGGGGATACAGAGGGAGTTGGGGGGCTACCACCAAATGAGAGGACAGCAGCCCACAGAGGCAACTACAAACACTGATCCACAGCTCCCCCTGCACCTCTGTGCTGGGGTGGAGGAGCCCCTGCTTGGGAGAGGGAGACCGGAGTGAGTGCTCAGGACTCAGGGGGCTTAGAGAAGGGCCAGGGCAGGACGGGCTGAGGGGGCGGGAGGAAGGCTGGGTAAAAGCAAGTGGCGCCACAAGCCTGTCCCCGGAAAACTATGACAAAAATGTGAGTGTGCTGTGTGGAGGGAGAAAGGGCTCTGAAGTCCCAGCCTGAGGCGAGGGCTTCTCCACAGTTGTTTGCTCTGGAATTCCAAGTGGCGGGGCTGACCTTTCCCACACACACACATCCTCCCCGCCGCCCGGGCACAGGCTGTTTCCGGAGCCACGGCCCTCTCCGCCTGACTCCTGGGGCACAGGCTCCCTCATCCCAAGAGGATGGCAGCCCACCGGTGCTGCTTGCCCTACACCCTGAGATGGGAATGCAGGCCCGAGGACCACTCTGCACCCTGCATGTCCTGGAGCCCCACGCAACAAGGGGAGACAGAGGTATCCCATGCGTCATCAGCTGCATGGACTCAGGGCCGCTCTGTCACTAATCCTCGGGGCCTCTGCGAAATAGGGTCATAAAACACCTCCCTCAGTGGGTCATTGTCAGGAGGGTGTCTCAACGAGAGCTAATGACACTGCTGCTGGTGAGCCAGGACCCTCACCCCAGTGGCAGTGACAGAGGTGGTGGTGACAGATGGTGGTGGCAGTAGAGGTGGATGTGGTGATGATAATGGTGACAGTGGTGGATGTGGTGGTGATGGTGATGGAGATGATGGTGATAACGGTGGTGGTGGTGATGGAGGTGATGGTGGCAGTAGAGGTGGATGTGGTGATGACAATGGTGACAGTGGTGGATGTGGTAATGGTGTTGATGGTGGTGGTGGTGATGGTGGTGAATGTGTTGATGGAGGTGGTGTTGACGGTGGAGGTGACGGTGATGGTGGTGCTAGAGGTGGATGTGGTATTGATGGAAGTAGTGGCTGTGGTGGTGGTGCTGGAGGTGGTGATGGTGGCAGTAGAGGCAGATGTGGTGATGGCAATGGGGATGTGATGGGCTGCTTCCTGGGCCGAGCCCTGGTCCGGAGTTTCTGTTTCCAGCACACAGGGAGGCCCCAGGATCTGGAGGCCCCAGTGTGGGGGGTGGGGTGGGGGGGAGGGATCACATAAAGAACATGCTGACCACTAACTGAGAGACTGACCCTGAGTCCACTCAAGGAAGAAAGGTCTGGAGATCTACTTCTGAAATGTCAGCCCCCGAAAGCCCCCAGCCCAGGTCCTGCAGGGACATGCCGGCTGCCTGAGTCAGAGCCGGCTGGAGGGCAGGGAGCCAGGGCCAGGCACCAAGGCCAGGCTTCTGGATGCTCCAGCCACAGCAGGGCCATGAAGCATGAGCCTGGACACCCCCCCACCCCCACCCCCAGTGTTAAGTACTGGGCCCTCTCTGCCTAAGGGCAGAGCACACTGGTCCGAAGGCCCCAGAGCCCAGTGAGAGGGCGGCATGGAGCCCAGTGCTGGGAACGGCCTGGTGGCCCAGGGTGCACATTCCTGTCCTCCCGCTCTCTGGGACCGTGTCGCCGCCACAGTGTGTTCCTGGGGGTGCCGGGGTTAAAGGTGCCCAGTTGAAAGCATTGCTGTGTCACTGTGGTTCTGCCGCGGCCGGGGCCGTGTGGCCACTTTGATCCCTGCTGGTGGCACCGGCCAGTGCTTTGATCTGAAGGTCCCTCTGGAACCCTGGGAACCACAGACATTGGGGGGGGGGGGACACACAACACAGATCCCTCCTGAACCAAGTCAGTTTAGAAGCAGGAAGAGTGGTGGGTGGGGGGACGTGTCCCTGGCTGCATGGAGGGCTGGGCTCAGGGAAGGGGGAGCTGAGAATGAGGGCAGGGGACCTGGGGCTTGCCCCAGGAGGGAGCCAGAGCCAGAGCCAGCAGGGCAAAGTGAGGGCAGGTGTGTGCAGGTTCCTCAAACTTAGAGGTCCAGTACTTCACCTCCAGTTTCATGGCACACGTTAAGGCAAGAGGGGCGGGGAGCCAGGACCCTCACCCCATGCCCAGGGTGCAAGGATGTAGATTCATCCGGAGCACAGACATCCCCCCCCACTCCTTTGCCTGGGTTCAAATCTTGCTGTCCCTTCCCGCCCCCCCACCCCGCCCCCCAAGCCTTCATTTCTCACCTGCAGGTGGGACTCTGATCCCAGGCCCCAGGGCCCCGGGAAGCCCATGTGGGGGCCTCGGTCTTTGCGGCCCACCAGCTTCAGGGCAGATCAGAGTGACACAGGTGGTGAGCCCTGCTCCAGGGTCACCCTGTACCCCATCTCCACGCAGAACCAAGGACCCCTCCTCCAGTGACCTCAAGGCGACCTGTTAGCTCAGACCCAACAGGTGGATTTCATGGCAACCCTAGGGGCCACTAGGAGGCAGGCAGTGCCCAGGCCTCTATGCTGCCACCTCAGCGCTGCGTCTGTCCCCAAGGCTGCCACCTGCCCTGGGCCTGCTCAGGTCTCTCCTGAAGATTCATTTACGTCCATGGTCATCCTGGTGATGACCCCAGGTGCTGCCCCAGAGCTGGGCCTGGAGAGCTAGCCACCAGTGGCCGCAGAGCCAAGCAGGGGCTCTGAGTCTGCTGCTGGGGGCTGGGTAGTCGGCCCCACCCCTGGGGCAGCACTGAGACTCATCGTGCAGATATGGACTTGGCTGGACAGCATGCCCCAAGAGGGTGCTCCTGCTGAAGCCCTGCCTGTCTCCCCAATACCAGCAGGGATGCAGAGAGCTTAGCCTGGATGGTTTGGGGCTCCCAGGGGTCCTCTTGGTGGGTTTTCCAGAAGGACACGTGATGGTGGGGGGCTTCTTAGTAAGGTGTTCTAAGGAAATGGAGAGCCGAGGTGGTGAGGAAAGGCAGGAAGGCCGCACGGTCGGATCGCAGTCCCTTCCCGTGGCACGTAACCGCACCTGCCCTCCTGCCATGGTCTGGCCCCTCAGACTTCTGTCCCTCAGTCTAAGGACGTTGGAAAGAGCCACAATCTGAGCCCCCCAAGTGTGCGGGGCGGATGGGGGAGCAGTGCAGCTGGAGAGAATGTTGGGGGAGGTCTGGGGGGGCTGTGTGCGGACACTCCAGAAGGGGGCTGGGGGGCGGCGTTCCCTCAGTTCAGAAAATGGTGGCAAATGATCTCCCGCTTAAAGGGGAGAAAGTGGCATGGGGGGGCGGGCGGAAGGGGGGCTTGGGTGCCACATTGGGAGCTGGATAGAGTCAAACACCGTCCAGTCAGTGTCCCCAGGTGTGAGGTGTTGCCAGTCGGTGACACAGCGCCTCACAAAGCAGCTGCTCAGGAGATAGCGCTGGCGTTATGAAAGCACTGGCCATGCCCATGGTCCCTGGACAGACCTGCTGCGCAGCTGAAGCCCACCCTGCCTCTGCCCACCACCCCTCCTGCCCCGATGCCCACTCAGCCCTTGGCCCCCACTGAGTCCACGTGCTCACACCCCATCATTCAGCACGCCCTAAAATGTCAGACCTGAGGGAGTACACAGGGGATCTCCCAGCCTGACGCCCGGAGCTGGACAGCACAGCGCCCCCCCCCCCCCGGGGCAGGGCGGCACCAGCAGGGACCCTGGCTCCTGCAGAGCAGCTTCATTCTCAACACCACCCCAGGCTGCCCGCAGACCGCCCAGCACTGCCACCACAACCACATCCAGCAGGGACCCTGGCTCCTGCAGAGCAGCTTCATTCTCAACACCACCCCAGGCTGCCCGCAGACCGCCCAGCACTGCCACCACAACCACATCCCAGACACTGGAATCGATCTGGGAGGGCGGCAGAAGGGGCTTCGCAACTGCAAGGCACCACCCCCGGCCCTGCACAGTGCACCAGCTGCACAGGGCACAGCTGTCAGGGAGCAGAAGTGGCCACTGTCCAGGGGGCGCCCACACTGGGGAAACCAAGCTCCTTGAGGTGAGGGGGTGATTGTCACCGCACACCAGACCTAGGAGCCCCCGGGCCCCACTGACCATGAGGATGCGGCGGTAGCTGTCCCGGTCGATGCCCCAGAGCTTGAGGTCCGTCTTGGCCTTCACCGTGGCTGCCCTGGGGGTGCCGTAAATGAGTGCCAGCTCCCCAAAGCTGCCTCCCTCGCTGATGCTGGTCACCCACTCCCCATTCACGTACACCTGTGGGGACAGCAGAGGACAGGGGCACTCAGGGTCCTTCAGCCACACCCCATTTACGTACACCTGTGGGGACAGCAGAGGACAGGGGCACTCAGGGTCCTTCAGCCACACCCCATTTACATACACCTGTGGGGACAGCAGAGGACAGGGGCACTCAGGGTCCTTCAGCCACACCCCATTTACATACACCTGTGGGGACAGCAGAGGACAGGGGGCACTCAGGGTTAGAGGTGTCCTTACTTCCACCAAGAGGAGCCCCTGCAGGCCCAGTGCAGACCCTGACTCGCTCCCCCATCCCGATCAGGTGGACGCCACACCCTGCCCTAGTGTGGACAGACACCTTATCTCTCATTCATAAACCCCACCCCACCCCACCCCCACCCTTCCTCCTGCCACCAGGGACCCTAGGAAACCACAAACCAAACTCACTGACTTCGAGCTGATTCCAGTGCACAGCCGTCCAGGAGCACAGAGTAGCACTGCCCTTGTGGGTGTCCGAGACTAACTCTCCCAGGGGGGCAGACAGCCTCCTCTTTCCCCCTCGGAGCAGCAGGTGGGTTTTAACTACTGGTGTTATGGTCAGCGGTCCGATAGGTCATCCAAGCTGCATCCCTGGCTGATCAGGGAGCCCCACCCCTGAAGCCTTCATGAGGGAGGCCTGGGGGCAGCTCAGCCCACAAGGGAGAAGAAACTCCAGCCTCCCGATGAAACCACCAGGAGGCAAGGACCCTTCGGCCATGGAGCGCACCTCAGGGGAGAATCCTGGTGACTCAGTAGGTAGAGCATCAGCCAGTAAGCACAGGCTGTGGCCCCTGCCACCGGGGGCTCCCGGCAAAGCCAACTCCACCTCACGGCAGTACAGGGGCTCCCAAGGTGGCACCCCCGATGCATGCTGACTATGCCCTTGCTCTCCCATGCCTTGGCTGGCAGGCTAAGACCAGCGGCCTCGGTTCCCAGCGGAGCCCATCGCAGCCCATGGCACTGCAGTCCTGTGTGCGGCCCCAGGGTCAGAACGGTGTGCTCATGGCCCACGCTCCGCTTTGGAGCTGCTGGGTGGGGGTGCCCCGCGGGCTCAGGCAGCCTGAGTCTGAGCTGTGTGTCCAGCAGGGCACAGGGAGGCCTGGCAGCAGGTGGTCTCTGAGCTCCGCGGGGGGTGTCAGTTTCTGCGTGGGGCCCAGCTGGTCCTCGCTACCACAGGGGGCACCAGGCCAGGCTGCAGGGGCTGGCAGGGCGGCAGAGGCCCTGTGCCTGAGCGAAAGCCGAGAACCACAGGCCCCGTGTGTGGCGTGAGAAAGCCCCATTGTGTGGCAGGGCTGGGGCCACGTGGCACCGTGCGCCGAGCACAAAGGCCCAGCCTTCTGGAGACACTGCCTCTCTCTGCACCGCCGGCCAGCACTGTTCACCCCCTGGTATGCCAAGGGGTGGACCTCTGTTTTATTTCCCTCATTTCCAGATGGTTTCTGCCTGCTCGGCCATGCTTCCCTGGGCCAGAGAGGCCACCCTGCCGGCCCTCTGGTCTGGTCATTTGTCTGGCTGCCACACGCCCACTGGTGAGTAGACCAGATGGGCAGACTCCCGCTCATGTGGGTCCCGAGGACCTAGCGTGGTAGACAACTGACTGACACACATCCCCTGTACAGAGGTTCCGCCACCCTGGAGGCGGGAGCAGAGAGTATCGTCTATAATGGGCCCCGTGGGCTCAGCCCAAGACACCCAGGAACCCCATGCAAAGACCTGGGGGCAGAGGGACAGACGGATGTGCAAACACTCGGAGACACCCCTTGGGGGTGGGGGTGGGGAGGGGTGAAATGCAGGTCCAGCAGCAGTAGGAAATCACTGGGGCAGACAAAGGCAGCTCAGTTCACAGTCGCCCAAAGGTGGACACAACCCGAGTGCCCATGGGCAGATGAAGGACTCCCCACCTCCATTAACTGATGGACCGTGTGGCCCTTCACGCAGCGGAGCCCCACTCGGCCACGGTCCCCGGCACCCCAGAAGGACCCTGGGAACTTCTCCAGCAAAGGCGGCAGAGCCGAGTGGACAAACGCTGTGTCCGCCAGTGCATCTGGACCTGTTGCTGCCCAGTGGGTTCCGACTGGGGCGGCCTGTGATGCCCATGGACTGCCATCTGAGGGGTGCACATGGGGGCCTGAACCCCTCACAGCTGTGCTCAGGTCTGAACCACCTGGGCAGAGCCCTCTGGCCTAACACAGGCTGGCGGTGAGTCCATCTCCCAGCTGGCCGGGCCACGCCGCACCCTGTGCTTCCAGGAGGGTGAGAAGTGCCCGCTCCCCTTCTCCCTCCCTCAGGCTCTTCACGGGGAACCGGGGAACCTCGGGCTGACGTGGGCGCAGCAGCGGACCAAGTTCCCCACAGCAACCCCTCCGTAGGTGGGTCTGCTGGCTCCTGTTCACATCCCGCCCCCTGTCCTCCTCTGAACAGGTCCTGGGGTCGAGGCCACCCCTTGAATGGCTGTTTACCAAACTCCGCCCCTTGTGGAGAGGATGAGGCACCCTGCTAGTCTCGTGGGGATGTGCAGGGGCTGCTAATGGCAAGGTTAGCAGTTTGGACCCACTGACCGCTCCCCGGGAGAAAGATGAGGCTTCCTGCTCCCATAAAGAGACCCCCGGGGCGCTCCACCCTGTCCTGCAGGCCCACTGTGGGTCAGAAGGGGCCCGATGGCAGTGCACTTTTTGAGTGACTGCCAGTATTCACCCCATCGATCCGTCTGCCGTTGGGCTTAAAGGAGAACCTTGGGAGTGAGCTCAGTTCTGAATCTTAAGGGTGACCAAGAGCCACGTCCTGGGCTCCATGCATCTCTAACCAACAAGCAACTTGATCTTTTTTGTCCTTTCCACTCTGGTCAGTCTCCCCTCTTCAGAGTGGCTGGTCGGGGTCACTGGGCACCAGCTCCTGCTTCTGGTCTCCAGGGCTGTGGAGGCTGAGGTGGGCGTGGTCAGGGGGCTGGTTTCTTGGGAAGCAGGCTGCCAGGCCTGGGTCCTGAGGCCTGCCTGTGGGCCAGCAGCTGCACCCTGAACCATGTGCGCTACCAGGTTCTCCATAAACGGAGAGTGACTAGGGCAGAGGACCCACCTGACCACAGAAGCCAGCCAAGGCCCAGACAACTGTGCCCAGCGCCCAGCCTGCTGGGTGCTGGCCAGAGTGACCTTCAGGCTCGGGGTGTGGCGGGGCCTGGCGGGGCCCAAGGCTAGGGGTACGAAGAGGTCCTCAGGCTGAGGTGGGGCTTTTGCTGGGAAGCTGGAAAGACTTCTACCCCCTAAAAATCTACCGTGAAGGAGGGGGAAATCCCAGGAGTCCCTGAGCGGGGAGGGACAGGGGAAGGCAAGGGCCCAGCCCGCAGTTCACCCTGGCTGGGTAGTGGGAGGCTGGGGATTGGCTCACAGAGGAGCCTGAAATAACAAAGGCCTGGAGACAATTAGGGGTGGAGCTGGCCAGGGCTCCCAGAGTGAAATCGAATTGGCAGCTGAGTGTCCTTTTTAGCAGAATTGCTCCGTTCTGGGATAAAGTGAGTGGGGAGGTATTTTTATCCTTAGGAAAGTGGATTATAGCTCTTGCAACACAGGCAGCCCCGGACAGTGGCCACACTCCCTGCATCTCTGGAAAACCATCACTGACCCCCAGCCTGGTGCTCTCAGAGGCCAGCTGACCACCTGGCTGTACCTCAGGGTGGTTCAGGTCAGTAGGGAGCAGGGGAGGGTAACCTAGTTCTGCTCAGAAAGTTCGGGAGGGGGGGTGGCTGCTGGGTGATCGGTCAGCCCATGGGGAGAGGCGGGAACAGGCATCAGTACTGTCCACCTCCCAAAACTCACTCTTGTCACTCACTGGGCGGCGGCTCCCCTCCACTCCACACACCACATCAAGGACCCCTCCCTGAAAGGCCCAGCCGCATGGGAAATCGGATCAGATGGACTGACTGGCACCGCTGGGGTCCGTCCGAGATGCTCACCCAGCCATGAGTCATGGCCAGCGGCCATGGTGGCTGCAGAGACGCCGGCCCACCCTCAGGGGTCTGGGGGTCTGTGTGCCAGCCGGGCTGAGGTGGGGGAGGGACAGAGGCAGGCAGGACAGTGTGTTTGGGGAACTCCGCTCAAGCTGAAGTGACTTCACATGTCCTGCCTGGAGCCTGGATGGACAGAGGCCGGGGCCCTTGGGACGCTGCAACCCAAGGACATAGCTGTGGCAATCCTGGGGGGCTCAGGGAGTCTGGCACCTGCTCCTGCAGGCTTCTGTAAGTCAGGCCCCCCTTCTGGCCCCCCACCTGGCATGGCTGGTGCAGGGGGTCCAGGCAGAGGGCCTGGGGTTTTAGAGGGGCATGGTGGGATGGCATGCTGCAGCTGGTGGCCTAGGCTGATGCGGGAGGGGGCATGAGTAGGGCAGGACCCTCAAACAGGGCGTGTCAGAGCAGCCCTGTGTCCCAGGACAAGAGGGTTGCCTGGGCCCCTTCAGGACGGTCACAGTGCAAACAGCTCCCAGAGGCAGAGGGCAGTTCAGGGTGCCCCACCACAGCCTCCTCTGCCCCTCAGCCACCGCCAGAGAGGTGGCTAGGGAGGGGAGGGGATGGGGCCTCCCTCAAGGAATTGGGGGCTTTTCCTTCCAGAGAGTCAGTGAGTGAAGATTAAAGGTCTGGGGGGGAGGGGGCTGGGGGGGAAGTTAGGCCCACACAGAGCATAACATCGTTGGGGGTGGAGAGGAGGCGCAACCTCCTCCTCCACGCCCACAACCCAGGCCCGATGCCCACCCCTGGACCCCACACCCTGGCCGCAGTCTCTCCTCAGCCTAGTGGGTACGTCCTCGGCAGAGATGCACGGTCCCCTCCGCCACTTTCTCACGCACTCTGCCCCGGGTGTCTGACCCTCTGTCTTCGCGTCAGAGCGGAGTCCCGAGGGGACTTGCCGTGAGGAAGAAGCCACCATTCCCACGTCCAGGGTCTCCCCGGGCCCACTTTGGCCCCACCTCTGCTCCCCAAAGACAGCAGCCGTGTGAAAACGTCTGGCCACAGACGCGCACGCGCGAGAGGGCAGGCATCCCGGGGGACGAAGCCGACGGCCCAGCGTCCAGGGGAAGGCCAGTGGGGAGGCCTGTGCTTGCAGCAGCCAGCTGGCTCTGGAAGGGGCAGTGGGGGTGAGGACGGGGCCAGAGGACAAGCCTGCACCTGGTGTGCCCTGTGGATGGTTGTCTGCCTGCACAGGCCACACCATCCTGCCCACAGCATGCCCTCGGGCCTAGCCCGGGCTTCCTAGACTGCCAGAGGGAGAGGAGGGCAGGCAGCGCAGGGGGTTGGAGCAAACAGACCGTCCTATAGGAGTGACCAGGGGTGACCTCGTCTTCCTGGGGAGGGGGCGGGCGTCACGGAGAACTCCCGGTGGCTGGCGGGACAGACCATGGTTCATAGGGCCCGGGAAGCAAGGACTGGCAACCTCCCAAGATCCAGGGGTGGGGGTGGGGCTGCACGGCTCTGACGGGACCTCACCAGAAACACTGAACTCCCCAGCAGGAGCGCGCACGCGCACATGCGTGTGTTGACATATGGCGGGTGACCCTGGCCTGGTGGTCAGAGACTGGCACTGGAAGCTCCCAGCCCTGCCTTCAAACTGTCCCTCCTCTCAGACCCTGGGCCTCCCAGGGAGCCACCAGCTCCTGCCTTGGTTTCCCAGCGCCAAGGCACAGAGGGGTCCCAGCCAGTGACACGGCGTGAGTCAGTGCGTCCGGTGCCACCAGCTCCGGAAGCCAGGCTGCGCCAACATTAGTTCCCAGAAACCCAGTGGGGTGTGGACACGGCCGCTGCCAGGGAAGAAATAGGTCCGTGTCCACCCAGAATAGCCTGGAGGCACAGAGAGCCTCAGCGGAGGCGGAGGCCTCAAAATAGCCCGGCCCAACTGGGGTGGGGGTGGGGGGGAGTTTCCCTAAAGCTATGGGATGAGGGGTGAGGCCAGGCAGGTGCAGAGCAAGGCCAGGGGACCTGGGAGCCTACAATGAGCTGTTGGGGTGCTAGTGTCCAGAGCCCAGAGTGGGTACCGGTCAGCCGAGGACACTGGGAGGGGGCCTGTGTGGGTACCGGTCCTCGTGACGGACGTGTTGGGAATACGGACAGGCCTTGGTGACACGGTGGGTCTGGTCCCAGAGCTGCACACAAACCTGGCACTCACGCTAAACTACAGTGTGATAGAAACATCTGACATGTAGCCGGGGTGGGGGGCTGAGGTGTGCGTGGGACAGACTCCGGGTGCAGAGACAGAAGCAAAGGAGGCACACAGACCCTCTCCGTGCAGATGGCTGCAGACCTCCGTGTGCATAAAACTTAGAAGCAGCATATGACAGTCATGCCTGCAGGGACCCCCTCAGCCAGAGGCCATGCTGGAGCCGGGGGTCCTAGTCCTCTGTGAAAACTCACCCACACCCACTGTCACCAGCAGGTTCCAACTCACAGAGACCAAGAGACTCGGTAGAGCTGTCCCGGTGGGTTTCTGAGCCTGTAACTCTTTCCAAAGACAGAAAGCCTTGCCTGTCTTCCTCAGACCGACTGGTGGTTTTGAACCACAGACCTCTGGGTTAGCAGCTCAAGGTATCGCCACTGTGCCATGCTCACTCATAACTTGCCGCCCTGAACCAAGTCCAGCTCATAGTGACCCTGGCGGACCAGGGCAGGACTGCCTCTGTGGGTTTTGGAGACTGTAACTGTTTGCCAGGGTAGAAAACCTCAGCTTTCTCCCAAGGAGCGGCTGGTGGTTTTGAACTTCAGACCTCGCAGCTAACATCCCAGCACATAGCCATGGCACCACCAGGGCCCCTTTAGTCCTCAGTGAGTGGTGTCCTATGAGAGAGGGGAGGAGACACCAAGGCCAGAAGAGGTGGCCCTGGAGCTGCCCCTGGGCTGCAGAAGCTGAGAGCAGCTCGGGAGAAGCCCCCACCCCACCCCAGGCGCCTGCAGCTCCCACCCCCACCCCCCCACCCCCACCCCCGCACAGTGACCTGGGCTTGGGCTCGGAACTGACAGATAATCTCTGCTCTGAGAGGCCCACACCGTGAACTCGATCTGCAGCTCACAGCAAGGTCGGAGGTCGGAGGTCAGAGGCGCTACTGCAGAGAATCCCAGTCGGCTGCTCAGCACTCACTCCCTAGAGCTGGGCCCTGCTGATACTGGGGTCCTGTGAGTTGGGAGTCACCCCAAGGCTGGGTGGGGCACCCTGAAGGGGCCTCACCGATGCGTCCTGCCCATGTGCCAGGCAGAGGGAGGGCCAGCAGCACTCAGGACAGGCCAGTGTCCCTCCCTCAGGGCCCTCCTGTGGCACCGTAAATGCAGGGCCTGTAGCAAAGGGGCCCACAGAGGAGGGGCCTTTTTGCCAGACCTCTGTCTGAGGGGCCTTGCTTAGCCGAACCCAAAGGAGGGCGGCTGTGGGGGAGATGCCGGGACGTGGGGGTGAGGGGACGATGGGCCCCCGGTGGCAGCAACAGCAGAGTCCAGGGACAGCTGGGTCCAGGGACTGAGATGCTCTCCTTGCCCTGTGGGCCTTCGGGTCTGCGTTCTGGCTGGCACCTACTGCCCCTCGGGAATGGCCTGTCTGGGACTGGGCAGAAATGGAAGCACCTGGGGAAGGACACCAGCTGGGGAAAGTGGAGGGTCAGCTGCCAGAAACCCCTCTGTGAGGCGGACAGACTCACACCGCACAGGGTGGGGCCCCAGTGAGTGGCCAGCAGCTCACCCACGCTCTTCTGCCACTGCCTGGATGCCTGGGCGAAGCCTGCGCTTTGTTCTGCCCCATGAAAAGCTCCAAAGCCAACGCCGGAGAGCGGCCCTCTAGGCCTGGGCCGTTAGCAGGCCCGTGTGGGGCCAGGCCTGGTGGGGCTGCAGCAAGAGGGGGTGGGTGGCCACTCTCGCACAGACAGGGGAGGTACTCACGTCCACTTCTCCCTGGTCGACGACGTAGAAATTATCTCCCTCGTCCCCTGTGGCAACAGAGGGGACAAGCACAGGATGCAGGACACACAGCAGACGTGCATTCAGGCTCCAGGGTTGGAGCAAAACCACAGACAGCCCAGCAGCCTTGCCTATCACTGCCACTGAGTGCACGCCGACCCCATAGGACCCTCTCACTGTGGCCCTTGGGGCCGCCGAGGCTGGAGCGCCTTCCTGGAGCTGACCAAATCACTACCGAACTCACTGTCACCGAGTCTGTTCTGACCAATAGCGGCCCTTTACGCTATTCTTTACGGGGACAGACAACCTCATCTTCTCCAGAGGACCTCCTGGTGGGTTCGAACTGCTGGCCCTGTGGTTAGCAGCCCAGCATGTGACCCATTGTGCCACTAGGGCTCCAGACAGTCCCTCGGCCGGTCTCCTTGGTCCTTTCCGATGACAAACGGAGAGGCCTGCGGAAAGCTCTGGGCCTCGCGTGTAAAGAGACTTTCTGTGCTTCACTAATAGGTGTCCTCAGGATTGCAACGAGGATTTTGATATCGATGTCCTGTTAAAAATCAATCACCAGGTACTCCACTGCGGGTCCCTGCTCCGCCCGGTCCACTCTGACTCGGAGGGAGAGACGGGGGACCTACCTTGTTGTATGACGGTCTCCCCGGCGATGTGAGTGACAGGGAACATGGCGTCAAAAATGTCGCTGAAAACAAAACACAGCACCTGTAGGTGACGGGCATGGGGCAGCCGTGACCCTCCTCCTTCCAAGGTCTGACTCTGGGGTTCACACGTTCATCCCGGGAAAGGAGGGGATCGATCTGGATCAACTGAAAGAAGTCATTTCTGACCCCATGCCCAGGGAGGCCCACCGGGAGCCGTCTGCCAACATGGTTTCTGTAGCAGCAGGCCCAGTTTGGACCCACTTAAAAATGTGTGGTGCCGTGTGATCCAAGGATAAAGTCCAAGATCAGAGGAAGGAGCTGTATTGGAGCTTAAATTCTGATCACTCAGTTCATAGAAGGCTACAGATGACAGTGAAAGCCCAACCTCTATTTGCAGACTCCAGTCATGATGAAACCGCCCTTGACCTTACTCAAACCACTGACCAGGAGTGTGGACAGCCCTGGCCCTCAGGCAGAGTGCAATGGAAAGTGGATTTCTGTAGACAGTTAGGCCAAGTTTTAACTTATTAACATTTCCCTATTGACCCATTTTGATTTGATCTAGTTTCTATTAGCTGGGGTTTTTTAAACAGAAATTTTCAGTGTTTTATGTTGTTGTGATTTTATGTTTTATGTGATTTTCTTTACATGAAATTTAAAACAAAACAAAAACCTCACTGCCATTGAGTCAATTATAACTCACAGCGATCCTATAGGACAGGGCAGAACTGCCCCTGTGGGTTTCTGAGACTTGGTGGGAATAGAAAGCCTTGTCTTTCTTCCAAAGGGGCAAAGTGGTTTTGAACTTCTGACCTTGTGGTTATCGGCCCAACACACAACCACTAGAGACAGAGAGTGACTAGATTAATAGTTCCTTGGGGTTATGGTAGGGGAAGTTAGGTGGTGACAGGGAGCTAATGATACTGGGTACAAGGATGGAGACAATGTCCAACAATTGACCATGGTCATGATTGCACGACTCCTTTTAAAATAGTCAAACCGTTGACTCGTATGTGAATTGCGTGTCCATGAGACCGCTCAGCAGAAGTTTCAGTGAGCGGGTGGGGAAGGGCAGGGAGAAAGCTCCCACATCAATAAACACCTCTCTACTGGCCTGCCGACCCTGGCTCTGACCCAGGACGGCCCGGACACAACACGGCCAACTCTGCCCGGCGCCCCAGCCCCCAGCACGGTCACTGCACATTCTGAGGACCTTCCGACCTAGGAGGGCCCTGGCAGCACAACACGGGTTAAGTATTAGGCGTTCAACTGCAAGGTTGTCAGTTCAAACCCACCAACTTCTCCGAGGGAGAAAGAAGATGCTGCCTGCTCCCATCAAGACAGACAGGCTCAGCAAACAGCCTCAGGAGCCCTATGGGGCAGTGGGTGTCCACCTCGGGGCTCATCTCCCAGCAGGACACCCAACAAGGTTCTGCTGTGACCCACAGACAGAGTTTCTGTTGGGAAACTTCCCAGAGCAGGTCCCCAGGCTTTTCGTCCGCAGTGCACACTGGCAGCTCTGCTGGAACCTGCCCACAATGGGCCCCCTGCTGGACACGAACTGCTGGTGGCGTGGCTCCCAGTGGCACAGCCACAGCAGGCACAGATGCACTGGCAACCAAACTTGATGGGGTTTCTGTCTGGGGCCAGAAGACCCTCAGCAATGGTAACGTGCGATGCGCTACAGCATGGTGAGTGCCGCTGACGTCCTGGAATTGCAGGCTGAACACAAAGATCAGTGCTTTCCTGGCAGATTTTTTTCCCCGCTATTTTTCCCCCTGTGAATTAGGAGTGTGTGAGGAGGTGGGGGTTACATTTCGGACCTTCAACTGTGTGTTCAGCAGTCCAAACTGGTACCCCACCCCCAATTTCTCTCCTTCCTCGTGTTCTATGTGTTTCAGCACAGTAGTTTTTCAAAGGAGAAAGATCTCAAGACAATATTCTAATTCACCACTTTAAGAAATCTTTAAAAGGTCGCATTACACCCAGCGCATGCTAGAAGGAAGGAAATATAAGAGCGAAACCTTAAGGGGTGAAGGTGGAAAACGATGGAGAAATCAGCATCCTTGAGATGTCAGTGAGGTCATAAACCTCTAGCCACAGAAGGAAGGGAGGGTGGACAAACAGGATCAGGCGTGAAGAGGAGGCCTCGCCAAGACCCTGACGGTATCTGTCAAAAGGACAACCAGGAACCCGTACAAAGAAGTAAAACCCACGAACTGTTTTTCAATGTCAACTAAGTGTCGCTCATTACGTCCGCCAAGCCCTGTCACCGTCACCACACTGTTCCCAAAATGTATTCTGTCCCCTGGAGAGAAACTAGGTATCCCTGACACAGGACCTCACTCAACAGTCCTCCGAGTGGCTCTAGAACTCACGTGGCGAGGAGTGCGCTCTGCACGGTGTGAAGGCCGCCCTCAGGGAGGGCCACGAGAACCACATCTCACTGGCTGGGCGGGTGATGGCGGCAAACACAAGCACGGGTGCTGGGGAGGATGAGAGACACAGCGGCCGGTGCAGCTCTTGGGGTTGAGCGAGGGGGGGCCATCCCACCTCAACGTGGTATCAGTGGAAATAAGGGAGGCCCTCAGAGAGATGGACCGACGAGGTGGCTGCCACAACGGGCCCAAGCCCGGCAGCAGTCCTGAGGACAGCACAGGCCTGTGGGGCCCACCTACCACGGCCACCGGAAACACCCATTGGTGTGGATGGGGCTGACCATCAGAGGCATTGCCAGTGGAGACACCAGCCCAGCGCAGCTGGGCCACTTAACATCCTCCATTTGTCTGTGGAGTGGACAGGCTCATGGGACACAGACGGGAGAGTGGTGAGGCCCCAGTGTCCCCTGGATGGTACTGTTGCCAGTGCCTGTCCCTGGCCCCTTTATCTGCCAGGACGGCAGACAGCCCAGTGCTGCCTGTGTGGGTGCCTCAATTCTGACACGCAGCAGGGACCCCGGCCTGGTGGCCCCGGAGGAGAAGCTGTGGGGCTAATGCAGCTCCCAGAAGGGCCCATAGTTGGCTTCCATAGCAGCCCATCTCCGGAACTGACCCTTTGACCGGTCCACTTCTGGGCACATCGGTGCCCTGTCAAGCAGAGGGGGGCCTCGGAGAAGCCCCCCAAAGAGCCGGGGCCAGTGAGACAGGGCGCCTGGCATGCAAGAGCCAAGGCCCAACCACCCTACTCCTGCAATTCCAGGGTCCGGAAAATATAAACAAGGAATGCCTAAAATAGGAGCTGTTTTCTCTCTATTTAGGAAAGGCTTCTCCTCTGTTCTCATTCCCAGGACGCTGACAACTTGGTTTCCTGTTTCCGGCCTCCTCGCCGAGGCCAGAGGGCCGTGGTGGCAGGACCTCCCCTGCCCCCGCAGTCCTCACCTGGGCAGCCAGGGGTCTGGCCCAGCCGTCCAGGGCACCTGGACTTGTGGGCCCCAGGATGTGTGTCCTGGCAGAGTGACCGTGTCCAACAGCTGCAGGCACCATCCAGTCACTGGTTTTCAAAGCGGATCGCTTGAAAACCACAAAATGAGGGCCCTTAAAACAAACAGATCTTTAAGGAATGATTTAACCATTCCTTCCTCTTAAAAAAAAAAAAAAGGATGTTTTGTCCCCTGATCTACCAGTAACATGTTTCCCTAAGTGCCAAACCCAATCAAACAGACCCCTGGATAGGCAGCACCTGGATGGGACATGTGCCAGCATCTTGCTCGAACCTCGGCCCCCAGCCTCTCTCCCCTAGAAGCCAGCCAGCACCCAGGAACGGGCAGCCCTGCCCCAGCCCTGAGTGGGGGTGGGGGCAGGAGGAAGCTGCAGCGGGAGGTTGAGAAAAGCACCTGGGGTCCTGTGCCGTCAGCATCAGTGCATGCGGCACAAAGCCTTCGGGAGCCAGGGGCAAATGGGGTCTCCACAGACAGAGCCTCAGCCGAGAGCAGTGGTTCTCAACCTGGGGGTCGAGACCCCTTTGGGGTCAAACGACCCTTTCACAGGGGCTGCCCGATTCATCACAGTAGCAAAATTACAGTTATGAAGTAGCAACGAAAATAATTTTATGGTTGGGGGGGGTCACCACAACATGAGGAACAGTATGGTCGCAGCATTAGGAAGGCTGAGAACCACTGGCCTGGAGGTTGGGGGGGTAGGGGGGTCTCACCCACCCAGCCTGGTGCCACAGAGGAAAGGCCTGCCATCCGCTTCCAGGAGGATCTGAAACCAAGCCCACCAGGGAGAGCCAATGCCCACGGCCTCACCCTGCAGGCAGCAGAGCAGCCCCTTCCCACACCAGGTCTGAGGCCGCGCCCCTCACCAGGGCAGGCGGCTGACAACTCAGGTGGTCCCGGAGAGCAATCAGGGAGGTGGGGGACACAGAATTCGTCGACCTCTGTAACAATGGATGCCCAGGGTCCCCAGACTCCTTACACCCGGGGCCCCAGGCTGGCCACACCCACGGACACTGGCCTCAGATACACCCGGGCCTCGGCCTCAGGAACCACCAGGCCTGCCTGCCACCAGGCCTCCAGCTCATGACCTTACCAGACGCCGAGTGCCCAGCCGTCACAAAGCCGCCCCCGCCAGCTCTGGCCAGTCAGGCTCCTGCTCTCCCTGCGCCTACGCCCACCCTCCAACTCCCCAGGCTCTGATGGCATTTCAAGGTATCAGCCACCCCCACCCCTGAACAAAGAGAAACCATTTCCTCCCGTCTGGGAGCCTTGACCCCTGCTGCCTGCACGGAGAGCCTTGGGGGCTGGGTGTTCGGTCCCTCCTGTTCCAGTGACACTGTGGGCTAAGCATTGAGCTGCTCCCCTCAGGGGCAGGGGTTCAAGCGCCGCCCACCCCATGCCCCACAGGAGGAAGGGGAGGCTGACCGCTCTAGTAAAGCTTTGGTCTTGGGAAGCCCTGGGTCCCTGTGAGTCAGACTGGCCGGCGGCGGCAGGCGGTTGTTTGGTTTCTTCAGGGAAGCAGGTTCAGCGTGCACAGGGGACACGCCATGCTGTCCTGGTCCAGGGACACAGAAGTGGAGGGCAGCGGGAGGCCAGGACCTCGGC